AGGCTGCCATCACAAAATATGGGGCTCATTAGCGATTTTTTTCAAAATTAGCAAAGGCAACAGCATTTGAGATTTCAAAATTCAAAAGGCAGCCCCTCCCCCCCCCAAAATCACTCAACTCCATTTTCGCTACTTAAAACTCCTACTCTTTTATCAATCTGAATACTAGTAATACAAACACTGTAATACCTCCTCATAATTAAATGAACTAGAAGAGAGCCAATATAAAGTATTCAGCAGTACAGCCTACAGATTAATACAGATGGCCATTTTCATATCAGGTACATTACCTTGCCCAGATTAGGGAATTATTTAAAGGTTAAACATTTTCTCATCAGCACTAGTTTATAAAATGAAGACTTTCAAATAATTTTAAACCAATATTCTCTCTGACCAACATTAAATAACACTCCCTACAATACTGTATATGGTGTAAAGTTTCACCACCACCACCACGGGGTGGGGAGGGGGGGAGGGAGTTATCAGTCCATGTCTGTCTTGTCAGGATTTCACAATTCATGGATCTCAATCAATGAGATCAATGATTCATGAACCTTAATATCAATGGTATTAATCACATAAAAGACAGTAAATCCCTTAGAGTTATCTTTCTTCACTCCTGTTAAAATGAGATGACTAAGTGTGTGGTGGCTCAAGAGATAAAAATGAGGTGATAAGTAATTAAAGACAATTATTAAATACCAGAAATACACTGGAAAGGGCACAAAAGGAGATTAGAAATGATGACACTCAGAAATAAGTGGCAAGTTAAGCCATCATTATTTGTACAAGATCTAAGTTAAAAAAAAATAGACCTCAGCTCATCTTTGTGAATCTCTGAATTTGAACATAAGGGATTAAGTGAAGCAGAAAAAGGAGAAGGGAAACAGTCCATCAGACTCTCCTTCAATGTAAATGCTGTCCCACGATCATTAAAAAAAAAAAGTGAGAGAGGAGATTGAAGGGAAAGAATGTGTGCATGACTTAAGGTAAACTAGAGTTTATGAACTCTCCATCTTCATTTTTCTTCATGAAGGGATGGTGATGACAAGGGAAAAGGCATCCAAATGTATACAGGTCACTTGAATTTGACATCTTCTCAGTGTTAATTGTTATTGTGTCTTTTACCAGATTATATTTATTCTGGAAATAAATCAAATGCTAGCATAGGTGTTCTGTTAAACAAGAACTAATTCTGACTATCAAAAGCCTTCAAAATCATTTTTTTAAAAAATTTAATCACCTGTAATACTGTTTTTACATTTCCTTTCAATCAAGCATAAGAGTGCATTAAAGGAAACTATGCTTGCTACCACCAACTTTACAGTATTCAAATGACAATTTTCTTATGGGATTACTGCATTTAATCATTCAAACACCGTATCATTACTGAGAACCACATTCACTCATGGTTTATGTAGATAACAAAACCCAATGACATAAGTTATATCTGAGTTTTTAAATAAACTTTCAGAAACAGTCTAGCAGCACAGCCATTAGTTATACTACAAAATTGAGAATCACAGAAACTAAATTCTCTGGACTCTGTACTAAGAGGGTATCAGCAGCATGAATATGTAAAATATCCTTACATCTTATTTACCTTTCCTAGAGGGAAAGAGTAGATACCCTGGGGACATGAGAGACTTCTCATAAAATGGAAGGCATTCTTTGAAATGAGCAGCATCTGGTAATAATTTCCGGCTCCCTGTAACAACACAACAACAACAACAACAACAAAAACTCCTCCTCCTCACCACAACTCAACTCCCCTGTGCCACCCCACATCACTGCCACCCTCTTCTGCTTCCCACCATGGTACAAGTAAGAACTCTTCTCTGCTCCTTCTGTGGTTTCTGAGTTGAGGATGCCATCACATGCAACCATCACGTCTATGCAAAAAAACATAAAATCTCTATCTTTTAGTGTTGGTCTCTGATAACTACTTACCTGACAGCTTTACTTAGGAAGCACAATAATAAAATCATTAAACACAGTGACTCTGGTCAGACTGCCTAGGTTAAAATCCCAACTCTACCACTTTTTAATTGAACAGCCTTAGAGAACTTCCTCTGAAAAACAGATGCCGCTTCATCTGTAAAGCAGAATAAAACTATAACCTACAACTCAGTGAGACTGCAAGAGTTAAGCGAGGGGAGATCCAACTGAAGTAAAGCATTTTGAACAGTGTCTAGCACATGGAAGGCACTAGATGAGGATCAAACACGATCATCATTAGAGTATTTAGCCATGACTTCAAATAATGGCCAGCACAAAATCAAAACACTTCTTCCCTCTAACTGAACTCCCTGTCGGTCATTCCCTACTACATTCTACCCATGGGTCTCAAAGTCATTCTCAACAATGTTGAAAGTATAAAGAACTCTTCCTTCTTAAGTCGATTCCTTCCTTCCAAATATGAGTGCCTCCATGTGAGATGAGGCCACCAGCTTCTGAACTACTATAACTCTCTCCTGGTATGGGCCCCTGAGCTATACTCTTTCTTGTGCCCAGCCACCCTTCATACTGTTGCAAGAATTAATTCTGAGAGACCAAGGGAGCAAACGTGGCTAGAAAATGGGTATTTCTTTTAAATTACCTTGTACAGAAGTATAACAATGAAAAAAAAATTCTACATGGGTAAAAGGAGGACAGATTTTTTTTAAATAATAATATATAGTACTGGAACAATGTGGTTGTCCCTACATTGTTAAGGGAAAAGAGCTGAAATGTACAGATGCTATATGAAGAAATTATACATTCCTAGAGAGTCAAAGAAGACCTAAATATCTTAATTTATGGACTGGAAAACTCAAAATGAAGAGAGAAGCCAATTCTCTCCTCAAAGTCATCAAGAGATTCAATGACATCACAATCAGAATCACAACAGTATTTTCCTTGTTGAACTTAGAAACTGATATTAAATTTATATGGAAAGACAAAGGGCCAAGAAAAGCCAAGACACTCTTGATATCTAACAAATATCTCGACTTAATATGAATCTATATTAATCACTCACTGTGTAGAATTGTGCCAGAATAAGGAAAGACGTCAATGGAACCATACAGGGAGCCCAGGGACAGAACCAAACATTTATAGACACTCAACATGACAGACTGGGTAATACACAGACAAAAGAAGAATGGATTTTTTAAAAACAATAAATGATAGTGTCTACATGGGAAAAAAATGAAATCCTGGTACCAAACAACAAAAATTAACTGTACCTGTATTATAAACTTAATGTAAGAAGTAAAAACCATGAGACACTTAGAAGACAATATTGGAGAATATCTTAACTTCAAGGAAGAAAGACTTCTTAAATATAAAAGCACAGGCCCAAAAGAAAAAAAATTTAAGCGAAAATTTCTCTTCATCATAAGATACCATTAAAGAAAGTGAAAAGATAAGCCATAATTGACGCTTGCACCATGTATAACATGGAAAGATTAGTATACAGCATACATATAATATGAAAGACCCATATAACAAAATAAAAGATATAAATAGTAAAAAGACAGCAGGAAAAATATTCAAAACACCATTTCACAAAAAAGAGAAGTCCAAATGGCCACTAAACATATAAAAAGATGTTCAGCATCATTAGGAATCATGGAAATGCAAATGAAAACCACCATGGAATATCAACTCTACCACAAGACTGGCAAAAATTTAGAAGTCTGACTACATGAAGAACTGGCAAGAATGCAGAACAGCTACACACTTCCATTACTTCTGGGAGTAAACACTAGTACATCCATTCAGGAAAAAGAGTTTGACATTTCTAAAGTCTGAACACACACATACCTGTTATCCAGTAATTCAACTCTGAGGTACATATCCTAAAATAACTCTTGCACATGCACACCAGAGAAGGCATTCAAAATATTCACAGCAGCAGTGTTCACAAAAGCAAAACTCTGGGAAAACTCTATCAGTAATAAGATGACAAACTGATTCAGTGAAATGTAAGAATAGCCAGTTATATCATGTCCATCAAATGGATAAAACTAAAATTCTAATGCTGAGGAAAAAAAGTAAATCTCAGAACACGCACAGCATGAAGTCCAATAAATAAAGTCCAAATCAGGACAAAACTAAAGCATGCATTTTTTAGAGATACTCTTCATAAATGATAAACTTATTAATAAAAGTTAGACAATGACTCACAAAAATCAAGGTAAAGATGACTTCGTGGAGGTGTTTCAAACAGAGACACATGGTGGTTTCTAAAGTCTTAGCAATGTTACATTTCTTACGCTGGGTGGATATACTGGTGTTAAGTTTATTACTATATAAACTGTACAGGTTTCATAAAATTCTGATATACTTCATTTGATGTATTTCACAATAAAACCCACAGACTGAGCTTGAGTGTGAAGCAAGAGGAGTCTGGCTGGAAAGGCAAGAAGGACAACAGCTAAAAGAGGGTCCTGGAGCAGGTTTCACTAAGCAGGAAAAGGCATCAGTGGGGTTAGCTGAGGTTGAAAACACAGAAAAATGAGGACATAACTTATAAAGCGAAGTTTCTGAGAAGGTGATTTAGAGTACAGGCGAAAAAGGATCCTTCTTCCCCTTGAACCTGGGGGAACAGTAAGAAGCAAGGACTTACATGACATTCTCCCGCAGTGAACTGTGATTCCCCTGAGAGTGGGTATTATTAGCATCTAGCATAGTGCTAATGGGGAGGAAGAGAAAAGAGGGAAGGACTGTTTCAAGTCAGCCCAAAGTGTGGACTGGATTCCCTGACAAAATGACATCATGGATACTCAACAAATACTCAAATCACCTTTAATTAGCTAACGTTACCAATATTCAAGTCACCTATCAGAAAAGTCCACAATAAAGTTTCATTCTTTATCAAATCATGTCAAAACAGTAGAAACTTACCAAGTCCAATTCATACTCTTTTTGATACATACTAAATATTAGGAAATTTTTTAAAGTGGATTTCCTGAACTTAACTTCACTTATTAAAAAAAAAAACAACTTCCACTTACTTAATTGAGTTTCTAAAGTGGTCTTCAGCTGGATTTTTTACAGTACAACTATTCAGGAGCCATAAATCTGCCTCTGATGCATTTTCTATAAAGAAACAAATTATAAGAAAGAAATTTCAGTATCACATTTAATCATTCAAAAGTCTCCAAGATCTTCCTCCAACAGCACTGAGATACACAGAAGCAGGTGGACAGTCAAGTAAGCATGCAACTGCATTACACTAGCTAAATGCTGTACAACATATGCAAATAGTTGTGAGAAACAAATATAAAAATCTGTAACATGTACTGTAGCTTTTCACTTAAAATATTTTTTAACAAATAAGCATTTTCTTCCTTTCTTTTCCATACTTGAGAGTATTTTAAAACTTCCAAAAACTAAAGTGGAACTGGCCTAATCTTACTTCTGAATATGCAAATTAGCTGCCTTTTATCAATATGCTATAGGCACAGATGTTATCATATACTGAATATTCTGCAGCTTAAGAATTTTTTAAAAATATAATTTGTCGGGATCCCTGGGTGGCGCAGCGGTTTAGCGCCTGCCTTTGGCCCAGGGCGCGATCCTGGAGACCTGGGATCGAGTCCCATGTCGGGCTCCCGGTGCATGGGGCCTGCTTCTCCCTCTGCCTGTGTCTCTGCCTCTCTCTCTCTCACTGTGTGCCTATCATAAATAAATAAAAATTTAAAATATATATATATATAATTTGTCTTTGAAAAAGTTAATGATTTATCTCAAAATGAGCCTTTCATTCCTCTCACCAGTTTAATCAAATATTATTATGTATGTGGTTCACCCCATCTTATCTGCAGGGACACATTCCAAGACCCCCAGGGGATACCTGACACCACAGATAATACTGAACCCTATAGGGATGCCTGGGTGGCTTAGTGGTTGAGCATACACCTTTGGCTCAGGGCATGATCCCAGGGTCTGGGATAGAGTCCCACATTGGCTCCCCACAGGAAGCTTGCTTCTCTATCTATCTATGTCTCTGCCTCTGTCTCTCATGAATAAATAAATAAAATGTTTTTTAAAAAAATACTGAACCCTATATACGCTATAGTTTTTTCTACACCTATATATCTGTGATAAAGTTTCATTTATACATTAGGCACAGTAAGAGAATAACAAAAACTGGGATCCCTGGGTGACTCAGTGATTTAGTGCCTGCTTTCAGCCTGGGGCGTGATCCTGGGGTTTGGGGATAGAGTCCCACGTTGGGCTCCCTGCAGGGAGTCTGTTTCTCCCTCTGCCTGTGTCTCTGCCTCTCTCTGTGTGTCTTTCATGAATAAATAATTTTTTAAAAAAGAGAACAAAAACTAATAATAAAATAAAACAATTATAACCATATATTGTAATAAAAGTTATGTGAGCGGGTCTCTCTCTCTCTGTAAAAAATACCTTATTATATTATGCTCACTCCTCTCCTTATGATGGCATGAGATGATAAATGCCTACATAATGAGATGATAGCATGTCTATGTGATGAGATGAAGTGAGGTGAACACACAGGCACTGGGATGCAGCATTAGCCTACTACTTGACCTTCTAACAATATGTCACAGGGAGGATCATCTGCTTCTGGACTGTGATTGACCACGGGTAACTGAAACCACAGGTAAGGGACGGGATGCTACCACCATACTGTGACAAACTCACTGGCAATGCAATCAATAACTCAAACCCATCAAACCTATGAAAGGACTCTGTAAATGCCTTAAGTGTTTACTGGTTATTCCAATACCTTGTTGCCTAACGGGACGTACACACTGAAACAGGACTACCACAATGAAAAAAAAAAAAAAACCAACATTGAAGACCGTAGCACCCTCAATGTTTACTAAGGTAGTAACAGAAGCTAAGGTACAATGACATGAAGAACCAGGAAAACAGAGGTCTGCGTGCACCTTCTCTACCTGGGAAGGGAATTTCAAGGGAAAACATGATGTCAAAGGGATGGCGAGCACAGCAAGGCTTTTAGTAATTGATAAAAACATTTTTACCAAACATTTTATCATAAAAATGATGAAATATTTTTAGAGACAAGAATAAAAAATTCTCAGATCAATTAAAGGCAAGGGAAGGTGCTTATTACTATTTATCCCTCCTAACCCGTCTCATTCCTTCCATGTGTATCCTCCTCCCACACCCCATGGTCGAATTTCCCTGCCAAAAGTCAGAGGGACCTTTTACTTAAAAAATCCAGCTATGTCACTTCCCTGCTCAAACTCAGAAACAATGGGTACTTACATATTGCCCCTCATTCCCTCCCAATTATTCCCCACAATGACACCCGAAGACATTCCTCTAATATCAATCTTCTGATGACTTCCAGGGTATTCAGGGCCCTTCCAGATCCAGCCAGCTCCCCAGCTTCAATATTAACTTCTCCCTACATTCATCTGTCCCTCCAGCCATACCAAATCCCCTGAAATTCCTAAAGCCTGCACTACTCTGTCCGGCTAGAATATCGTTGTTTCCTATCTACCCAACTAACTCCTACTCATCCTTCAGCTGCAGCCTGAGGTCGTAACTGCCTCTTCTCTGCACTCCCATGGTAAGACTGTGAACAGACTATTCTAGTACTTCACATCCTGTATTAAAATAATTCATTTTTTCCTCCTGGGGCCTGGCGGGGTAAACAACCCCCGCTGAGCCCGGCAGCAGGCAGGGGCAGAGCAGCTCCCCCAAGTGCTAACACCTGAAAATCAGCGCAACAGGCCCCTCCCCCAGAAGACCAGCTAGAGGGACCAGTGATACTCCCCCGTGTTCCAATACAACTTGTTTTTGGCCACTCTGCACTGAGCAAAATGACTAGAAGGAAAACCTCACTTCAAAAGAAAGAATCAGAAACAGCCCTCTTTCCCACAGAGTTACAAAATCTGGATTACACTTCAATGTCAGAAAGCCAATTCAGAAGCACCATTATACAGCTACTGGTAGCTCTAGAAAAAAGCATTAAGGCCTCACGAGACTTCATGACTGCAGAATTTAGATCCAATCAGGCAGAAATTAAAAATCAATTGAATGAGATGCAATCCAAACTAGAAGTCCTAAGGACGAGGGTTAACGAGGTGGAAGAACGAGTGAGTGACATAGAAGACAAGTTAATGGCAAAGAGGGAAACTGAGGAAAAAAGAGATAAACAATTAAAGAACCATGAAGACAGATTAAGGGAAATAAATGACACTCTAAGGAAGAAAAACCTACGTTTAATTGGGGTTCCCGAGGGCGCCGAAAGGGACAGAGGGCCAGAATATGTATTTGAACAAATCCTAGCTGAAAACTTTCCCAATCTGGGAAGGGAAACAGGCATTCAGATCCAGGAAATAGAGAGATCCCCCCCTAAAATCAATAAAAACCGTTCAACACCTCGACATCTAATAGTGAAGCTTGCAAATTCCAAAGATAAAGAGAAGATCCTTAAAGCAGCAAGAGACAAGAAGTCCCTGACTTTCGTGGGGAGGAATATTAGGGTAACAGCAGACCTCTCCACAGAGACGTGGCAGGCCAGAAAGGGCTGGCAGGATATATTCAGGGTCCTAAATGAGAAGAACATGCAACCAAGAATACTTTATCCAGCAAGGCTCTCATTCAAAATGGAAGGAGAGATAAAGAGCTTCCAAGACAGGCAAGAACTGAAAGAATATGTGACCTCCAAACCAGCTCTGCAAGAAATTTTAAGGGGGACTCTTAAAACTCCCCTTTAAGAAGAAGTTCAAGTAACTCTGAACGTGAATGGGCTTAATGACCCCATCAAAAGGCGCAGAGTTTCAGACTGGATAAAAAAAACAGGACCCATCTATTTGCTGTCTACAAGAGACTCATTTTAGACAGAAGGACACCTACAACCTGAAAATAAAAGGTTGGAGAACCATTTACCATTCAAATGGTTCTCAAAATATACCCTAAAAACTACAGAACACTTCTGAAAGAAATTGAGGAAGACACAAAGAGATGGAAAAATATTCCATGCTCATGGATTGGCAGAATTAATATTGTGAAAATGTCAATGTTACCCAGGGCAATTTACACGTATAATGCAATCCCTATCAAAATACCATGGACTTTCTTCAGAGACTTAGAACAAATTATTTTAAGATTTGTGTGGAATCAGAAAAGACCCCAAACAGCCAGGGGAATTTTAAAAAAAGAAAACCATATCTGGGGGCATCACAATGCCAGATTTCAGGTTGTACTACAAAGCTGTGTTCATCAAGACAGTGTGGTACTGGCACAAAAACAGACATATAGATCAATGGAACAGAACAGAGAACCCAGAAGTGGACCCTGAACTTTATGCTCAACTAATATACGATAAAGGAGGAAAGACGATCCACTGGAAGAAAGACAGTCTCTTCAATAAATGGTGCTGGGAAAATTGGACATCCACATGCAGAAGAATGAAACTGGACCACTCTCTTGCACCATATACAAAGATAAACTCAAAATAGATGAAAGATCTAAATGTGAGACAAGATTCCATCAAAATCCCAGAGAAGAACTCAGGCAACACCCTTTTTGAACTTGGCCACAGTAACCGGAGAAGGACAAACAGTGTATGTTCTCATTCATTTGGGGAATATGAATAATAGCGAAAGGGAATATAAGGGAAGGGAGAAGAAATGTGTGGGAAATATCAGAAAGGGAGACAGAACATAAAGACTTCTAACTCTGGGAAATGAACTAGGGGTGGTGGAGGGGGAGAAGGGTGGGGGGTGGGGGTGAATGGGTGACGGGCACTGAGGGGTACACTTGACGGGATGAGCACTGGGTGTTATTCTGTATGTTGGTAAATTGAACACCAATAAAAATTAATTTATAAAAATAATAATAATAATAATTCATTTTTCCAGCCTGTCTGTATTACTATTTAAGAAATACAGAAGATAATATATTTTTTAAGATTTTATTTATTTGAGAGAGAGAGAGAGAGAGCATGAATGGAGAGGCAGAGGTAGAAGCAGACTCCCCACTGAGCAGGAAGCCTGACATGGGGCTCAATCCCAGGACCCCGAGATCATGGCCTGAGCCAAAGGCAGACAACCAACTGAATCACCCAGGTGCGCCTGAAGACAACC